CGCGCGCGCGCGCGCACACCTTTGCGTCCCGCTCTGCAAACTTCTTGAACATGTTGGCATACACCCTGCGGTCCCGCTCGTTGTGCTCTTTCGCCTTCTTCTGGCACATGGAGATCTGCAGTCTTGCTGCCTTGTTCTGGGGATTTACTTCCAACACTTTCTCAAAGTCACCTTTGGCTGATTCAAACTCGTTCATGAGCAGCTGGGCTTCACCCCTCCTGTACAGGCCTTTCTCGTTGGCACTATCCAGTCCAAGAGCCTAGGAACAATTCAGAAAGGTGAATGTAACTCTTCATACTTGAGGGAGTTACAAAAGAAAGTCAGCAAACAGCCTATCAGAGCCTTCAGACCAGGAGTGTTACAACAGCAGGATCATGACCATCACTTACCAACATGAGCAGTTGCACAGAATGATCAAATAATAATCAGGACCCATTATTCAGATTCATTTCTGGGGGCTGGAGAGATGGCTCAGGGGCTCAGAGTGCCTGCTGCTCTTTGCAGAGGACTTGAGTTTGGTCCCAGCACCCATGGGAGATGGCTCCCAACTGCTGTAACTCCAGCTTCAGGGGCTCTGGTACTCCCTTCTGGCCTCTGCAGGCTCTGCTCTCACATACACATACCATACACATACACACGACTAAAAACAATCTCAACAATGAAATTTCATTTCTGCTTTCAGTGTTACCCCTAGCTCCTGTGTTAAAAGCCTTGGCCCCCAGACAGTGGTGCTGTTGAAGTCTGACTGGATCATGAGGGTCCTTACTGAACGGAGTGTTAGGGGATTAGGAGGAGCCCTACTGGAGGAGTGAGTCACTGGGGTGCTTCTTCTAAAGTGCAGATCTTGTCCTCAGAGCATCCTCTTATGCTCCTTGGCTCCTGTAAAGTGAGTGACTGTCCTCCGCTGTGTTGTTCTGCTATCAAGCTCTCCTCCACATAGCCCACAGCCATGGAGTCAGCTGAACATGGACTGCAACCTTTAAAACAGCGAGCCAAAATGAATCCTCCCTTCTTTTTTCAAAATATATTTTATTTGGGGCTGGAGAGATGGTTCAGGGGTTAAGAACACTGGTTGTTCTTGCAGAAGGTTCGAATCCCAGCACCCACATGGCAGCTAACAACTGTCCTTAACTCCAGTCCCAGGGGATCCGACAGTCTCTTCTGATCTCCGCCAGCATTGCATGACATGGGTGCATGCAGGCAATACACGCATACACATTAAAAAAAAAATATATATGTCTTATTTATTATTATTATTTTTTTGGTCTTTTTGAAACAGGGTCTCTCTGTAGCCCCAGCTGTCCTGGAACCCACTATGTAGACCAGGCTGGCCTTGAACTCACATATATCTGACTGCCTCTGCCTCCCAAGTGCTGGGATTAAAGGTGTGCACCACCACACCCGGCCTTATTTATTATTTTTATGTGTTTGAGTGTATTGCCTGCATGTATGTGAGTGCACCTGTGTTGTGCAATGCCTCAGAGATCAGAGGAGGGCATTGTAATCCTTTGGAACGGGAGTTAAGGACCAATGGGAGTTGGGAGTCGCCATTGGGTGTTGGGAATCGAACCCGGGTCCTCTGCAAGAGCAGTCAGTATTCTTAACCGCTGAGCCATCTCTCCAGCCCCACCATCTCTATTTTTAAAAATTATTTATTTAGGGAGTATGTGTATATATTATGTGTATGAGCATGGTGTATGTGTGCATGGTATATGAACATGCCTGTGCCTGTGTACATGCACATAAGCCGGAGGATGTCAGCTGTCCTCTTCCAGCACCTCTGGCCTTGTTCCTTTGGGGCAGCATCTCTTACTGACCCTGGAGCTCAGTGTTCAGTGAGGGTGGCATCCAGCCCATGACCCTCCTGTTTTCGCCTCTCTCCATGCTGGAGCTACAAATCTGCATGGGATTAGGCCTAGCTTGTTATGTGGGTGCTGGGTTCAAACTCTGGTCCTTATGCCTGCACAGCAAGTGCTCTTACAGAGGCATCTTTCCTGCCCTAAATCTATGTATTTTAACTGAAAAATGTATGGCCTGGGGCCATAGCTCGGTTGGCAGAGTGCTTGCATGGCGTGCACACACACACACAGTCCTGGACTCGATCCCCAGCACTACAAAAACTGCATGTGGTAGTGCATGTCTGTAATCCTAGCACTCAGAGATGGAGGCAAAATGATCAGAAGGTCAAAGTCATCTGTGGCTACAGAGTAAACAAGGCCAGATTGGGTTATATGAGACTTTTCATGAAAAAAAAAAATACACATACATATGTTAGTCTACCTATAAAAAAGGAATGTGTACATACAATGAATGGTTTGGGAGGCAGTGAGATGGCTCAGTGGGTAAAGTACTTTGTCAGGGCTGACAAACTGAGTTTGATACCCAGGCCCCACATGTGGGAGAACTGACTCCTGTGGGTGGTTCTGTGGCCCCCACTCATGCACTATGTTACGAGTGACCACTCCCAACATATGCCAGTAAACAAACCTAAGAAGGTTTTAAAAACGAATGCATTTGGGAGAGGAGGTTAATGGGAATTTTATGGTCTTTCTTGTATGTTTATTTGTTTGAACTTGGAATAACTTTCTAATATTTCTATAACTAAAAACAAAGTTTAAAATGTATACTTAACAATAACATCTCTTTGTCAGGTAAAAATTTAGTGTGATGTGATAGGAAACACTGACACAAAAACTGAAAATCTTACAAAGTACAAAATACACGGCTTCTTTTCTATCACTTCATGTCTGTCCTCTGTTGGTGTTTAAGCATGTGCTTTTTATTATTTACCTATTCTGTGTATTTGTGTTTGTGCTCATGTGCACATGTGGAAGTCAGAGGACAACTTGCTTGAGTCCATCCTCTCCTTCTACCTGGGATCCTGGGGCTTGAACTCAGGTTGTCAGGGTTTACCTGATAAGCCATCTCGCCAGCCCTGTTGCTTTTGAGACAGGGTCACATGTAGCTTAGGCTGGCCTCAAACTCCTTATATAGATGAGGATGGCCTTGAACTTCTGATCTTTCTGTCTTTGCATCCCAAGTACTGGGATTACAGATATTTGCCATCATGCTTAGCTTCCTGCCAATCTTTAAGATGCATTCAATGGTAGGTTTATTCTTACCTTTAGTGTAACACACACTGTTCACTAGGAAGCCACAGACCAGGATAAAAGCCCACATTAGCTGGGATGTAGACTTATCAGGCTGGTCCTTACAACAAACCACTGTCCCTTGCAAATCACACAACTACTTTACTGGAAACAGGATCAGAACAAAATGCAAAATGCAGAGATGGTTCTGCAGCCTCTTAAATTTGTGTGTATTCGGCTGCAATCTGCTGAAAATCTGCTAAAGTCCTGAGAAATTGAAGTTAGAGCTGCTCTTTTTTTAAATATTATTTCTATTTTATGTGTTTGAGTGTATAGCCTACATGTACGTGAGTGCACCCGTGTCGTGCAATGCTGCAGAGGTCAGAAGGGAGCTTTGGATTCCCCTAGAACTGGAGTTAAGGATAGTTCATAGCCGCCATGTAGGTGCTGGGAATCGAACCCAGGTCTTCTGCAAGGGCAGTCAGTGCTCTTAACTGCTGAGCCATCTCTCCAGCCCAGATCTGCTCTATTAAAAGTGAACTCAAGCTGGGTGTGATAGTGCACATTTAATTCCAGCACTCAGGAGGCAGAGGCAGGCAAAACTCTGTGAGTTCCAGGCTAGCCTGGTTTACATAGTGAGCTCCAGGCCAGCTGTGGCTACAGGGAGATCCTGCCTTAAAAAGACCCTGCCCCTACAAAAAGTTAACTCAAGGAGCTGGAGAGATGGCTCAGATGGCCTAGAAGTGGCTGCTCTTCCAGGACTCAGGTTCAATTCCCATCACCCATTTGGTGGCTAACAACCAGTTTTAACTCTAGTTCCATGGGATCCAACGCCCTCTTGGCCTCCACAGGCATTACATGACGTGGGTGCGCTTACATACACATATGCAAAAATATTCATACATAGGGGCTGGAGAGATGGCTCAGTGATTAAGAGCACTGGCTGTTCTTGCAGAAGACCCAGGTTTGAATCCCAGTACCCACATGGCAGCTAACAACTCCAGTTCCAGGGGATCCGACAGCCTCTTTCTGCGTGCATTGCACAACATGGGTGCACTTACCTAAATCAGGCAATATGCACATACACATAAAAAATAAAAAATATTCATACATATAAAATAAATATTTTTGAAAAAGTGAACTCAAGGGCTCAGAATGAGGCTCAGTGGTATGGTGCTTGCCTGAGTTCAATCCCCAGTGTGGAAAAGAAAAATGAACTTAAAGAGTTCTTTGTCTACTGTGATACCCAAAACTGGTGTAAGAAAGGCCACAGACAAAAACTGATTCTAGGGCTGGGTGTGGTGGCACACGCCTTTAATCCCAGCACAGAGGCAGAGGTAGGCGGATCTCTGTGAGTTCGAGGGCAGCCTGGTCTCCACAGTGAATCCAGGACAGCTGGGGCTACAGGGAGACCCTGTCTCAAAAAGACCAAAAAAACCAATTCTAGCAAAACTTTTATGCAAAATGTATTACTCAAACAGTCTATGTACCAAAAAAGTCTGATTATAATTACAATCCTTCTGAATTTCTCAGTTTATACTTTGACACAATCCCAAACATAGCGTAAGCCTCTGGGCTGAGAGAAAGCAGCTTTGCACATGGGCTAGGAATGAGACTGACCATCTGAAGGCCATGGCAGACCCACGTTACCTTGTCACAGCACTCCACCGCTTTGGTGTACTCTCGGAGCTTCAGGTAGCACATGGCCAGGTTTAGGAAGGCAGCGAGCAGAAAAGATTCGGAGGCTTTCGATTCTTTCTCTGATAAGCCGTACTCCATCTCCAGCCAGGATACTATCTTCCCGTACTGAATCACCGCCTGCATGTACTTGCCTCCCTAGGAGAAAAGAGCTTATAATGACTGTCCTGCGCTCTAGGGAGGATAGGAAAGAAGGCCGAGCAGGGCCTACAGCAGAGGCAGAGTCCTCACAAGGGAACAGGCTTGCGCTGCAGGCTCTGGTGTCCTTTGGTTCAGGCTGGTCCCACAGAGTGCTGTTTTCCAGCCTCCCTAGCCTGGCCACAGGTGGCTACATTGTTTGGTGCTAATACTCAGTGTTTCTAAAGGATGCTGAGCTGTTTGATTTACAAAAGGGGAAGTGACTTCTCTTTTCTCCTGGTGTTCAGCTCTACAGAGTAAAAGCTGCAACATGGCAACAGGCAGTCCCAAGTACAGCAAATCTGTGCTGTCTAGAGTAGATGGTGGCAAGCCCCAGCTCTCGTTTGTAGTAAGAAAGCAGCACCCGTCAACACAGACAATACTGAGTGGCTGTGTCCTGGCATCAGTTTACTACAAGAGTGGGCAATGCACAGTGTGCTGGTCCGAGGGCAATGGGAACATACCTTGCTGGTCAGCACATTCAGCATCAACAGCATGAATGACACAGGAGTCCATCAACTATGCAAGAACACTCTTGCTCTCATTTCCTGTCCCCCAACCCTGTACCAAGGACTGAACCTAGGGCCTCATGCATGCTAGGCAAGCACTCTGTCATATCCTCAGGCCTTTAATTGTACTCTGAGACAGACAGGGTCTTGCTAAGTTGCCAAGGCTAGCTTCAAACTTGTGGTCCTCCTGCCTCAGCTTCCAGAGTAAACACAATCACATGGTTTAGCACACAAGGCCTTTAATAGATTTGCTGGGGATAGAGAGGTGGCTCTGCAGTCAAGAGCATTTGCTGATCTGGCAGAGGATCCAACTTTGTTTTCTAGGACCCGTTTTGGGTGACTCACAACTGCCCGTAACCTTAGCTCCAGGGGATCTGACACCCTTTTCTGGACTCTACCAGCACCTGCACTCACATCCACGTATCCAGATACAGATGTGTACGCATACACACAATTTAAAATAAAATTTAAAAATACTTTATTATTTTATGTGTTTGAGTGTTTTGTCTGCATGTATGTATATGCACCACATGCGTACAGTGCCTTCTGAGGTCAGAAGAGGGCATCAGAACCCCTGGAACTGGAGTTATAGGGGGTTGTGAGCTGTCATGTGGGTGTTGAGAACTGAACCTGGGTCCCCAGCAAGAGAAGCTAGTGCCCTTAACCACTGTGCCACCACACTGGTGCTGCAGGAACATTGAGGTTACAAATATGTGCCACTGCGTCTGGCTTTACATATAATTCCAACTCAAGCCCTCATGTTTGCATGGCAAGTGTTTTACTCTGAGCTGTCTCCCTCCAAAAGAGGCTTCTTAATATTTCCAATTATGTTCGTAGAACATTTAAGTTTTTGAAATATCATCTATCATAGCTTTATTTAGATTTTCTTCTGGACTTAGACTTTCCTTAGATTATTTCTCTCCCCAACCCACTCATTTGAAATAGGATCTCCCTGTTGCCTTGACTGGCCTGGAACTCACAGTGATCTGCCTGCCTCTGTCTCCCAACTGCAGGATTAAAGGCATGCTACTATGCAGGCTAGATTATTTCTAATGAGCTGAAGTTTTTGTTTTATAATCCTAAAAAGTGGCTCTCAATTTGGGGTTATTTTGCCCAATCCCAGAACACCTAGCAATGTCTGAAGACTTGCTATTGTCATAACTGGAAGAGACAGTGTGACTGACATCAAATGGGCAGGAGACACGGATGAGGAAAACATCCTGCAAGCCCCAGGACAGCTCCACAGAAAAGAATCACCCAAGTTCAAATGTCAGGGGTACTATGGCTTAAAAATCCTGCACTAAAGGGGCTGGAGAGATGGCTCAGTGGTTAAGAGCACTAACTGCTCTTGCAGAGGACCTGGGTTCAATTCCCAGCACCCATATGGCAGCTACAAACCGTCCTTAACCCCAGTTCCAGGGGAATCTGAAGCCTTCTCACATACATGCAGGCAATACACTCATACACATAAAAAAAAAAAAATCCTGCACTAAAAAGGATGGAAAAAAGTGGATCTCTGTGAGTTCAAGACCAGCCTGGTCTACACAGTGAGTTCCAGGCCAGCTGGGGCTAAGAGAAACCCTGTCTCAAAAAGACCAAAAATAAATAAATAAAAAAGATGGGAAAAAAGTAGGGTAGGCCCTTCTTGTTATTTTGAGTTTTTCCCCTTCAAACTCAAATCCTACACTCATAGGTGACTCCTGTCTAAACCACATCACTTATTTAAAGTGCTAGGTAGTCGAACAGCTATCCTCAACTAGGGAGGCTCAGACATGCTGTCTTCCCAAGGAACACTAGGGGGTGCAAGAGGTCTGTACAGAGCAATGTCCCAGCCCTCACACCACAGCCCTGTTAGAGAAGAAAAACACTAACTAAATGTGACAGTGAATGCTGTTTCTTGTCCTACAAGTACTGTGGGCTATGAAGGCAAATATTGTGTCTGTTTAGCTGGCTTACACCATGCCTGGAGTAATACCACGCTGCTACCTGTGCCTAATGATGATCTACAGAGCCAGGTGAGGGCAGCTCTGTCCTCTTGAGTGTTCAGACGTTGAAATGAAGTTTCAACCTCAGTCTCAACAGCACAATTCAGTCTTTTTTACCCTTAGGTGTAAACCACATTGTCAGGTCAATAAAAACGAAGCTCAGTGTGCAGATGGCATGAAATACATATCTGTAGCCCTTATCTGTGCTCACCCACACATCTGGACGCTGTGCCTGTGCACAACATGCCAAGTCAAGTACCCTGAAAAGATGAGGCCAGAAGAAGCAGCATGGTGGGCTGAAACCTGCCGCGAGTAGAAGAGGGAGGACCGGCTGTAGGAACCACCTACCAGCCCCTCTGAAGGCTACAGCTCAGGTGAGGATCATTGCTAGGATCTTTACCTGTAATTAGGAAGGTGCCTCTAGGAGGTTTTCAGAGGCACAGAATGTTCAGAGACATTCTGGGAGAAGTCTTAGGTCAGTGGTTTTTAACCTTTCATTAATTTTGCCAATGAGCTAATGTTTTGAAAGATCTTGTCTATTAAATTACGTTAGAAATAATATGTTCCATATGTGTGACTGACCGCTGATCCAAAGATCGGTCATTTTCAGAAGGTTTGGATATTCTGAAATATACACACTATTGCTGTGATGCTACAAACCAGTAGATTTACAAGATTGTACAGAGACTTAGGGAGAATTTTTTGCTATTTGCCACCAATCCTGGCTTCTCTGTGTCTGTTCAGAATACAGCTATAGTCCATGTGGCTTTGTGACATCATTTCAGCCTTGAACCCATCAAATCATTAACATCCTACTTAAGAGTTTGGGGAAGCACATATAATACACACCACCTAACAACTGGGATAGTCTGGGATGTGAGTTATTACAAGTTTTGCCACTGTGAGGACACCACAGAATGTACTTACACAGACCTACATGGTCTAGCCTACTAAACACCAATGCTGTATGGGGTAGCCTACTGCTCCTGGGCTGCAAACCTGCACAGCAGTTTTCTATACAGAATACTGTCGGCAACTATAACACGATGGTAGGTATCTATGTTAAACACCCAAAGGTACAGTAAAAAGTAATATCTAAGATTTATTTTTTATATGTATGAGCATATTGCCTGCATGTATGTAAGTGTACCCATGTTGTGCAATGCCCATGGAGGTCAGAAGAAGGTGTTGGATCTCCTGGAACTGGGGTTACAGATGGTTGTTAGCCAACATGTGGGTGCTAGGAACCAAACCTGGGTTCTCTGCAAGAGCAGTTATCTGCTGAGTCATCTCTCTAAGTCTTTATATTCATAATGTATATTTTTTTCTATTTCAATTGGAAAAAACCAAAAATTTTTTTGTAAAGACACATTTCCCTTTCTCCGCTTCCCACGGGAGTTTCTTTAGGGTCAATGACACATATAGAGCTGTTACTCTGACAAGGACTTCTGGTCCCTCTGAAAGACATACCTGAGGTTGTTTTACTGTTAAAATGTAAAAGGTAGGAAGAATGTGCTTTAATGAGAAAAGCATAGTAAACATATAAACCAGCAGCAAATTACTGAGTATCCCGTGTGCATGTTTTACCCTATTGGAGCAGAGCCTGTTACCTTGACATCACCACCAAATGGTAACTGTGGCTAGAACATGAGGACAGTTTCATCAGAAGGCAACAGGAAGTTTCTCAGTCCCATCATACCCTACAGGATCTCAGTCATGGAATTGGTTTGATGTCACCTTAAATGCTGTGTGGTGCCTGACTGTCCTGTGAGGATCATCACAGATGAAAAGAATATAGGAAGTGCTGTTCAGGACCTATAGTCCATGAAGTTTCCTGGAAACCTTTTTACTTCTATGTATTATATATCTGTATATACAAATAACCCAGTCAGAATATTGCTTAATCTAATATACCTCAAGCAGAATAAAAAGAGATTAATGGCTGGAGGGATGGCTTGGATTAACAGTGCTTGCTGCCTTTTCAGATGACCTGAGTTCAGTTCTCGGCACCCAGGGTGGTGGTATCCAATTGCCTGAAATTCTAGCTCCAGGGGGATCTGACACTTTCTTCTGGCCTCTGCAGGCACCTGCACACATGTGCACATACTCCCACACAGACATACATGGACATATAATAAAATAAATCTAAAAAAAATCCACACAAGGGGCTGGAGAGATGGCTCAGAAGTTAAGAACATTGGCTACTCTTGCAGAAGACCCGGGTTCAAATCCCAGCACCCACATGGCAGCTAACAACTGTCTGTTAACTCCAGTTCCAGGGGATCCAACGGTCTCTTCTGACCTCCGCGGGCACTGCACAACACGGGTGCACTTACCTACATGCATACACATTAAAAAAAAAAAAAAGAAAAATCCACAGAAAATAACAACGAAAACCTGTGCTCTAATATGTTTACAAAAAATCAAAGAAACTTAGGACTGGAAAGAAACTTGAGCATCATCTAGTGTGAATTTCTCTCTCTCTTTTGTTTTTTGTTTTTTTTTGGTCTTTTTGAGACAGGGTCTCCCTGCAGCCCCAGATGGCCTGGAACTCATTGTGTAGACCAGGCTGGCCTTGAACTGACAAGAGATCCGCCTGCACCACCATACCTGGCTTGAAACTCTGCCATTCTTGAATTCTCCTTATCACTAAGCCCTTCTTACTGGATGTGGAGATGGCAGGTGCTCAGGGTGAGCTGTAGCAACCTGCACAGCACTCTGTCTTTTCTCTTACATGTGAGGATCAAGATCTAAAGGATGAAGCATCAGGCTCTTAGGTGCTATGGCAGGGTCCTCAGGAAGCAGTGTATGATGAATATCATTCAGTACAAATATACAGGAATCATGCTGGCCAATCAGATTCTTGGGAAAGTTGTGCATGGCTGTCCCTGGATTCTGCAACACCCATTACAGTTCCTGGGGCTTTCTTAGACTCCAGCTGGCATCATCAGATGCTGTCTTTAGTTTGCTGTTCAGTTATGACAGCACTGATAATTACTGATGTATTTCTTTCTTTCTTTTTTTCCTTCTTGATAGGTCTCCCTTGTAGCCCCAGCTGGCCTCAAACTCACAGAGATCTTCCTGCCTCTGCCTCCCAAGTACTGGAATTAAAGGTGTGCACCATCACATCTGGCATGAGAAAGTTTTATTAAACAAATATCAGAGCACATACCTTTAATCCCAGCACTTGGGAGGCAGAGGCAGGAGGATCTCTATGAGGTCGAGGCCAGCTTGGTCTACGCAGTGAGTTCCAGGCCAGTTGGGCTATAGGGAGACAGTCTCAAACTCACTCCCCAAAAAAGATTTGTTTTGAGGATATTTATTGTGAAAAGTGCCATTCTAATTTAAAAAGCATAGATAATATACTTTTTCAGTTGAAAATTATGATTAAAATAATGTGGAAGAGACTATTACCTTGGCTCTATTAACATATAAACAGACATAACACAAACCTTGAGAAGAATCACCATTCAATGATTTGCTTTGAAGGAGGAAATCTGTGTTCTTTCCTTTGGCAGACGTCCTAGTGACGGCACCAAGGCAGGGGCAAGAAGAATGATGTGGAACTTACTTATGTGAATTCTAGGGGTTGCTAATGATTGTTCTATCCATTCTTCTTTCACTCTGCACATGTACTGCATGCCAACTATGTACCAAGCAGGATGCTTCAGGCCTTAAGTGAAGCAGAGGGAGGTGAGCAAGCTACACCCAGCTGCCCTTACGGATGGTTGCCACCCCAAGGACCATGCACAGGAGTCTACAGTCTGTTCACAGGAACGCATTCCTCTCGCCATTTACATTGAAGACAGCAGGTGTTACAGATTCAGGCCCATTCTTACCAAGCAAGGTGTGAACTGAATTCAGAGTGGGGATGGCAGCACACTTTATGAACACTTGAGTAAATGCTCTGACATGGAAAGGATTTACAGACTCACACACCTTGAAGTACACAGTGCCCTTCTCCTTGACAATGGCAGCCTGCTCCAGTTTTTCTTTGGTGTCCATCTCCCAGGATTCTTTGGCCTGTGTATAGATTTGTGGCATCGGTTACACGAGCACAGGAAGAAATGCATCAGCTGATGGCTGAGGAACAAACAGCAGCTACTTCTAGAAGATATCCCAAAGTCAAAACACGCTGGGGGTGAACTGGGCCACTGCCAGGCCAGGGATCTTAGTACCGCTTTAAGAACCTACTTGCCATGATTCTCTAGCTATGGCCTCACCTGTTGCCCATGGGAGTGGAGCAGGCAGGGCACATCCAGGAGCATATACTGCTGAGCATCCTCAAGGAGTATACCTTCAGAAGGATAAAGCAAGGCAGCCCACATAAGGGAAGGCCCCTATGCCCACCTGCAAACCTGCCCCCTAAGCTGCTGTTATCATTATACCAATGGGAATATTACGTGTGGGCAAGGCCATGCTGTATACAGAGAATTTTCAAAAGTCTGGGTCAGGCAGTTGGCTCATCACTAAAACAACCAGATATATTGTGGCCTCCAACAGTATCAACTTGTAGGTGTATATTTGGGGAATTTTTCTCAAAAGATTTGTTTGTGTATGTGCCTGCCTGCAGGGTATCAGATCCACCGGAGCTAGAGTTACAGGCAGTTCTGATGTGGGTGCTGGGACTCAAGCCCCGGTCCTCTGAAAGAGCGGCAGGTGCTCTTGACTGCCTAACCATCTCTCCAGTTCCTTTTCTTTGCTTTTTTTCAGACAGGGTTGCATGCATCCTAGGCTAGCCTCTACTTCGCTATGTACCTGACGATGAATTTGAACTTCTGATCCTTCCTAGTGCCAGGATAATAACCATGTGCCACCACACCCAGGGTTTTCTTTTTTAATGTTTTAAAAATTATTTTTATTTTATGCGTATGAGTGTATTGCCTGCATGTGAGTGCACTCATGTTGTGCAATGCCGCAGAGGTCAGAAGAGGGCTTCGGATTCCCCTAGAACTGGAGTTAAGGATGGTTCATAGCCACCATATGGGTGCTGGGAATTGAACCTGGGTCCTCTGCAAGAGCAGTCAGTGCTCTTAACCGCTGAGCCATCTCTCCAGCTCCAACACCCCCAGTGTTTTCTTAAAAAAATATTTTATTAAACCGGTTGTGCCCGGCTTGTAGCCAAACATGGGCCCTATTCCAACTGGAAAGTCTTTCTAGGAATCAGAACTATATCCGTCTTGTGTTCTCTTAAGTGGCTTATTTTTCAAAGCTAGTTCTTGGATTGTAAGTCAAAATTCAAGGAAGCTGTGTTGTAAGTAGGATAGCAAAATAAAAAAATATATATAATTTTTATTTTATGTTTATATTGCTTGCTTGCACACAGGAGGATGCACCAGTGTCATGCAATGCCCGAGGAGGTCAGAAGAGGGCATCAGGTTTCCTGGAGCTGGAGTTTCAGACCACTGCAAGAGCCACCATGTGGGTGCTAGGAATCAAAACCAGGTCTTCTGCAAGAACAGTCAGTGCTCTTAATCGCTGAGCCATCTTTCTAGTCCCCAACACACACACCCAGTGTCTTTTTAAAAGGTGGCGCACACCTTTGATCCCAGCACTTGGGAGGCAGAGGCAGGCAGATCTCTGTGAGTTCAAGGCCAGCCTGGTCTACATAGTGAGTTCTATCCAGGACAGCTGAGGCTACAGGGAGATACTGTCTCAAAAAAGACAAAAAAAAAAAAAAAAAAAAAAAAAATTAAAGATATGGTCTTATATAGCCCAGACTGACCTCAAACTCACTATGTAGATGAAGCTGGCCTTGAAATTCTGATCTCTCTACCTCCCAAGTGCTGAGATTACAGGTGTGTAGCACCAGCACACCTGGCTTTACTTGCAGGACTTTCGAGCAAACATATTTGGGATGACAGAGCTCATGCAAAGCCATCACTGCAGAGTGGTACACAAATGACTTCACCATCATGGGCTAGTTTGTGGGATGTGCAGTCTCACTCTGCACCATTATACACAGCCCCAGAATCAACTGCACTGGGGCTATTGCTCAGTGAGAGAATGCTTGCCTTGATGTTCAAGGCCCTGAGTTTAATCCTCAGCACTTGAAAAAAAAGCCCTATGAACAGCTGGACTTAAGATGACAAAAAGCAACAAAACAACTGGGGTCCTTTATGGAAACACCACAGGTGTGGCTGTTACTATTTAGTGCATATGAATTACGAAGTTTAAATGGGTAACTGTAAAACTTACTCTATTCAAAAGACAATGAGTGGTGTTCCTGGTGACACAGCTGTTCCCCTTGTCCACATACTTTAAGAGAATCGCCAGGCATGGTGGCGCAGGCCTTTAATCCCAGAACTTGGGAGGCAGAGGCCAGCCTGGTCTATATAGTGAGTTCCAGGACAGTTGGGGCTACAGGGAGACCCTGTCTCAAAAAGATGAAAAAAAAAAAAAAAAAAAAAAAAAAAAAGAATGAGGGGATGCCAGTCTTTCTGAAAACCCATGTCACCTCCTTACAATTCAGTTATTATTATTAGATTTGGTGTGTGTGTGTGTGTGTCTGTGTTGTATGCACATGAGTTTGCAAATTTATGTACCCATACGTGCTCAGGCCAAAAGAGGACATCAGGTATCTATCATTCTCCCCTTGTTCCTTTAAGACAGGGTTCCTCACTGAACCATTTTGGTTAGGCTAGATGAGCTCTCAGGATCTACCTGGCTTTGCTCACCAAACCTGGGGTTATAGGCATGTGCAGCCAAGCCTGGCTTTTGATGTACTAGGGATTTGAATTCAGGTTCTCATGCTTACACAGCAAGGTCTCTTATCCAGTGAATCATTTCTTTAGCCCCAGTTTAATCATTTGAAAGTCTAGTTAACAAGTATTCTTTGCATTTTTCATATTGGTTTCAATGTTTACATTTTTTGTTGTTAAGCCAGGTGGGGTGACTTCAAATGGTTAATTCTAGCACTTGAGGCAGAGGTACATGGATTTCTGTGAGATAGAGGCCAGCTGAGCCACAGGGAGACCCTGTCTCAAATGCCCCTCCAACCTCAGTTTTTTAAAAAAATGACTGAATGTTTATGTCATGTATGTGTGGGTGTGAACCTGTGAGGAGGCCAGAGGTCAATGTCAGGTGTCTTCCACACTTAAAACATTTTATTTATCATTACTGTGGGAGGGATTATGGGGACAGGGATGGGGAAGGTGCACATATGCCATGGCAAGTGTGTGGAGTTCAGAGGACAATTCTGTGAAGTCAGTTCTATCCTTTCACCTTTATGTGGGTCCTGGGGATCAAATTTAGGTCATGAGGCTTTGTGGCAGGCACTTTTACCCATGAAGCCATCTAGCTAGTCTTCCAACTTTATTTTTAAAAATATTTTATTCATTGTTATTTTGTTCATTTTGAGACAGGGTCTCCCTGTAGCCTCAGTTGGCCTGAACTCACAGAGATACATCTGCCTCTGTCTCCCAAGTGCTAGGATTAAAGGTATGTGCCACCATGCCCTGCTTTATTTATTACTTTTGTGTGTATGATGGTTGTTAGTTGCTACCTGGGTGCTGGGATTCAAACACAGGTCCTCTGCAAGAGCAGTCAGTGCTCTTAACTAGTGGGCCATCTCTCTAGGCCCTCCAACTTTATTTTAAAATTTATATATATATATATAGTATGCGTGTGCATGTCTGAATGTTTTGCCTATGTGCATATGTCTGTGCGTGCAATGCTCACAGAGGCCAGAAGTGGGCATTAGATCCCCTGGAACTGGAGTTATGGATGATTATTAGTTACCATGTGTGTGCTGGGAACTGAATCTGGATCTTCTAGTCAGTATTTTTAATTCCCAAGTCATCTCTCCAGACCCTTCAAGTTTGTTTTTTGAGACAAAGTCTCACTGTATCTAGAGATGACCAATAGCCTGGACTGGCTGGCAAACAAGCCCCAGGGATCCTCCTACCGCCCCCCCCCCGCCCCGCCCAGCGCTGGGGTTATAGCACATGCCTCCATACCCCCAGCTTTACACACAGGTGCTGAGGATCTGAATGCAGTTCCTTAAGCTTACCCAGAGAAGTATCTTCTTAGCTCCCATATCTTTTTTTTTTTAAAGACAGGCTTTCCCTGTAGCCTCAGCTGTCCTGAAACTCATTATATAGACCAGGCTGGCCTTGATCTCAGGGATCAGCTTGCCTTTGCCTCCTGAGTGCTGTTTATTTATGTACTTTTTTGTGTTGTGTGACAGGGTCTTGCTATGTGGAGCCCAGGCTGAACTGAGATGGGTGACCCTTCTGCCTCAGCCACTAGACAGCCAGGGTTACAGGTGTGTGCCATGCTTGACTCCTGACTCCGGTCTCCTTTCCACAAGGCAGGGAACTAAAGCATATTGCTCCCAACAGTATCACAGGTCTTCATATGTGTGAGTCCACCCAGCAGTGTGCTCAGATACACTCATGAAAAGATAACAACACAGGTGGCCTGGTACAGCGTGCAAGTGAGAATGCTCCTAAAAAGATGAGAGGGAAGGGGTGGCGGGCTCCTCTATAAAAAGAGACAGGAACACTAAAGCCCCAATACTCAAGTGTTAAAGAGTCTTTCTCCCATGTTACAATAAAACCCCTGAGGAGATAAAGATAAGTGTATTGGGGAACATGATGTGGATGTGATTAGGAACATCACTGCTGGAGAACTTCACTCTCTTGGCCCAAAAGAAATGTTATGTGTCCATCACGTTACACTGTGGTTGGAACCTCCAGAGGCAGCCCCGGGTTGGAGGTCGGTCTAAGGAGGCATGCCAGTTCTGCAGCAGATGGCACCTGATGATCCCCTCTTCTGTCTTGTCAGGTATGAAAAAGGAGGCCTGGGGCAGCAAGTTTGCTTCCTGCCAGCCTGCTGGCCCCACGGCCTGGCTACTGCAATTATGGCTTGCAGCTACAGCGCAGGCCTCTCCATGACTCCTGCAGAGGGTACAACCCATTCGGCTGCCCCCACTCCCCGAGAAGCTGCTTGGCAGCACATGAACTTTTTTTGTCCTCAACCCAGGAAAAAAGTACAAAAAGAACAAGTCTAGGAACAAATAAGGGAACAAGTCTTGGATTCTACCCAAAAAAGATTTAAAAAAAAGAGGCTGACACACAGTAACAAAATACGAACACCAAGCTCCTCGGTTGTCTATCAGCTGTGTTATGTCAGCTGTCCCATGCTCTAGCCGCAGCCCAGGAACAGGAGTCCAGCGAAAATGAAAAGTAAACACAGAAATAGACACTGTTTACACCACGGTCATATAGTTATAGGAAGTGACGGAGAAGAAATCTACCATGATTTTAGAGAAGCTGTATTTTCTCACCTTTTCGAAGCTCTTAAGTGTAACTTCATATATAAGCTCAGCATTAGGTTCAATGCCAAATTTAGGCTTCCCTGCCTCTCCAAAACCATATCTGAAATGGAGAGTAAAAAACAAAACTTTGAAGAACTGGTGTATTTCCAGATATCCCTTTGGTATTCTGAGGCATGGTGTCAGCATAGGGCTGTCACTGTTGCACAGATCAGAGACCCACAGACATGCTGGATGCTGACCGAAGACACAACACAAGCTTCACTGCTTCTGTTTTCTTAGAAACTGGGCTGGACTAGGTTTTCTTCTCTCCTCAGTACACACGTAACAACACCTGTGCTGCTCAGGACAGCGTGCTTAATGGATTTTAAATGTCACTGCCTTTTTCTCTGCTTGACTTGGTATCTAACTGCTTTCTGGTTACTAAGACTTTGCCTTGAAGCTCTGAGAGCAGGAGGGACAAAGGAGACAGAGCTACTGAAACCATTACAGCGCTGTTCACTGAAGTTCTGCTTTAGTAAGCTTTTCACTTTTTTGGGTCATTTTAGTAATTTTTTTGTTTTAGTTTCATATGTGTGTATAATGAATTTAATCATTTTCACAACCCCCTTCCCTCTCCCACTGAACCCACTTTTCTTCTCAACAAGCCCCCCTCAACTTTCTTGTCTTTTTTTGCATGTGACCCGTTGAGCTTAATTAGGATCATGTTCTAATGAGCTTTCACTTTGAAGTGCTACCACTACCTCCATCAGATCAATGTGGAGAGGGCACACATCAGAAACAAATTCACAGCACCTCTGAAGGACTTTAAAGAGGCGCACTAAGAAACACAGCAGTACACAATCAAACCAATGCACTCACCCAGAGACCTATGTACTTTTACACCCCTGTAGTTACCCTGTTTAAAACACAACACCCTTTACCCAAAACTTATTAAAAACAAAACAAAATCAAACCCTAGGAATATGCAAATTCTGTTTAGTCTTATTTTCAGGGACAGGTCTCATATACAGCCGAAGCTGGCCTAGAGCTTGCAGCACTCCTTTGGCCTCAGCTCCTGAGGCCGAGCTTACAGGAATCTGCCACCACACCCTGCTTTGTAAACTTGTTTTGACACAATTAAAGATCTTGACACAAATTAAAGGTATTCAAGAAGCATGCATCTGCTAGAATTGAATTAAGCCCTATGAAGCTCTGTCTGGTTCAGGAATTCCCAACACTTAGAACAGTGCCCAGTGTAATAGTACGGGGTCACTGGAACACACTCTTTCCATCTACTGTAAGCCAAACTACTCTTGGATATATGAAATGGTATAATAAAAAGCTCAGCTAACTTCATGTAGTTATTAAAAATTTAAAAAAATGATTAGCCGGGTGTGGTGGCGCACGCCTTTAATCCCAGCACTTGGGAGGCAGAGGCAGGTGGATCTTTGTGAGTTCAAGGACAGCCTGGT